CCCCGGCATTTGCTGTCACCATATTCCTATGCTATGGGTCAAGCGCCGCCATCACCGCGCCCGCGCACTCGAGCGACTCCGAAACGCCTCGGAGACGCCGAACCGGCCGGAGAGGATACACATTTCGGCGAGGACGCGAGAGAGCGACGTCCACTGGACTCCGTCGATGGTTTCCTCTTGTCCGCACTGCCCTCTCCGGCCGTGCAGCGTACTGGCAGCGGGAGCAGCGCGGAATTTGAATCGCCTGAGGGGCAGTATGGATTTCCTAAAGAAAATAAATATTTATAAACAAAAACAATTAAAAAAAATTATTTAAGTATTATTGTGGAGTGTCCCTGACCCACCTAACGTAGTTTTTTTAATAAAACATGTTCTATTAAATGTTAACAAGTTTCTTAGCGATTCAATTGTTCACCGAACCGAAGTTAGAATATTATCTTAGCTTAAAAAATATATAGTATCTAAATATATATACAGTGAAATACCGTAGGAAAATTTACGATGCATCACCTTTCGGAGATAGGAACGAAATCGTGATTTCATGTCTCTTATATATTTACGTTCTACACCATTCTTCGTATTCCTTGAATAAATGGATACCTGTAAATCATTAAATGAGCATGTAAATGAGCACCCGTAAACATAAGAAAGACTTTCCTTTTCCGAGTTTATTATAAACACAAATCGGAGTAACTCTTATGAATTGACTTCATTCGAAATAGGTATCCAAAACGTAAAACCCCATATCCATTTCATATTTGAAATAAGAACAATAAAGTATTATGGATTTCCAATTTTAAATAGATTTTGAATCTATTTGCGCTTGAAATTAAATACTTCCAGAGAAATGAGAATATTAGAAAAGAATCGATCAGAATGATACTTATTCTATCAACTGAATCAACTCTCGAAAAAGTTAAACAACACGAGTAACTCGAAATAGCCACATTGGCAAAAACTAATGAAATTAACTTGTTTACTTGCATTTTAAATACAAATACAAGTCATAAAATTACGTGTCCGAAAAAGGCATGGACAACGAAGGGTTAATATTACGACTAGATGGCATAGTTAATTCGAGACGACATTTTTCGTGGAGGAATGATCCTCCATTCCGTCTGTTAATTACTTGATCACGGTCGCTGCAAAATGAAAATCCGCCTTGTAAGCCGCGGAAGGAAGGGACGATAAGGCCCGAGGGTGAACGACTGCAAGCGAGAACGCCGTCGGGATGGGACGAGACCGTAACCCGGGGTAGAGAGACAGACTTCCTAGCCGGAGTGTAAACATTGATGCTAATCCGATTATCGGGAGCCGATACCGAGACTCTCACAACAGGGAGTGGAAGGCCCGAGGTAGGAGTTTTGAGAGTGGTAGAGGAAGCCCGGGGCCTATGCGACCCGTTGGAGTCAGAGAGAACGCCACGTCTAGGACCCTCGAGCCCCGAGCCGGCCCCGACGAAGGGAAACTTATTTTTGGTCTCCTTCCCTTTTCCCTCAATGTGTCACGTTTGTCAGAAAATTCATATAACGAAATATTGGCCATTTAAATTTACTTTGAGGTGGTACAGGGCTGTTCGACCGTCGTGAAATATGCTATAACTTGTTTACATATAATATCATATTGTAAGAATGTCAATTCCTTCAATTTGTATTATTTTAAACTACGGAACTCTGAAATTTCATCATTTTTCAGTTTCCACGTGGTTTATAAATTTGCATGTCTTAATAAAGCAGGGACGACGAAAAGTTAGAGTTACGAGTGGACGGCATAGTTTATTCGGGACGACAGTTCTCGCTTAGGAATCGATCCTCCTTTCCCTCTGTCAATTATTTGATCGCAGTCGTCGCAAAATGGCAATCCACCTTGCGAGCCATGGAAGGAAGGGGCGATAAGGCCTGCGGGTGAACGAGTCCGAGTGAGAACGCCGTCGGGAGACATAAGACCCGCAAGAGAGGAAGGGAGAACGCCGTTCCGGAAGGATCGAAGCCGTAGCCCGGGGTAGAAAGAGAGTCTTCATCGCTGGCGCGAAAACATTGACAATAATCCGCTTATCGGGGAACCGACATCGAGACACTCGCAATAGGGGGTGGAAGGCCCGAGACTGGAGTTTTGAGAGAGGTAGTGGAATTCCGAGGCCTTTGTGACCCGAAGGAGTAGATTGCAGTATATTTCGTAGCATGAATTTTCTGCCAAACATGACACGCGTAGCGGAAGGGAAGAAGAACGGGGATGTAGTTCCGAAAAGCGCATAACTTTTGAATAATTTGAATCTTCGTATATCTACGTATTTTGACGCGCTGATTACGAATATGATGGTGAAAATTGACAAAAATGTCTTCAAAGTAAAATCAGTTTTTAATAATTTTTCGCCTTACATTATTTTGATTAATATTGTTCAATAAAGATAACCGATAAAAATAAAAAGTGTAACTGTTGAATAAAATCGATTCTTTATGTTCTATACATTTTTGTTCGAAAACTGTCATTTATCGAGAAAAATGAGATACATTCCTAAAACAGGTAATTAGTACAACTTATCTAAACGACCTCGACCATTACTTGCGTGGACTGAAGGCTTCGACCACCTCGAACCCCAAGGTATATAAAGTAACCTGACCTGACCACCCCCCCCCCCCGGCTTTAGCTCGTTTACTGTTTGAAGATTTCCCACAGTTAATTACACTTTTGTAATTGAGGAATGTATCCCATTTTTCTCTAAAAGTGTCGGCTGTGGAGAAAAAAATGAATATAACGTAAAAGATGCATTTTTTTCGAGAACAACTTTTATCTAGGAAACATTTTTCTCTCATACCTGTGCTAAGGAGAAATAATGTCAAAATGTGCAAAAATTATTAACAATCATTTTCATCTTGAAAATGACACTGCGCCAATTTCCACTATCATATTAACAATCAATGGGTCAAGATAAGTAAGTATAAGAAGTTCTTAATTACTCAGAGGCATGCCCTTCCGGAACTTCACCCAAAAACGGTAAGCCATCCGAACAGCGAAAGTCCATCGACACTCAACTTCGGCGGTAACACGAGGACAGAGGATCGGTGGGGTAAGTGGACTGCATACTTGTCTCTATATCCGCCCTAGTGGCCGTGTGTCCGAGTAAGATAGCCGAGTGAGATAGATCAAATATGATGCGCTATACTTAGAAATTGAAAGATAGACTCATGCGGCCGGGTTTCAGTCCCTGACCAGGAATAGGCGACCCTTCGTCGGGGCCGGCTAGGCTCGGCCGCCGGCTCAGGGCTCGAGGGTCCTAGACGTGGCGTTCTCTCTTACTCCTACGGGTCGCATAGGCCCCGGACTTCCTCTACCACTCTCAAAATTCCTGTCTCGGGCCTTCCACTCATTGTTGTGGGCGTCTCGGTATCGGCTTCCGATAATCGGATTAGCATCAATGTTTACACGCCGGCGAGAAAGACTCTCGCTCTACTCCGGGCTGCGGTCTCGCCCCAACCGGAGCTCCATTCTCCATTGCTCTCTCGCGGATCTAATGCCTCCCGACGGCGTTCTCGCTTGCAGTCGTTCGCCCTCGGCCTTATCGCCCCTTCCTTCCGCGGCTTGCAAGGCGGATTGTCATGTTGCAGCGATCGTGATCAAGTAACTAACAGAGGGAATGGAGGATCAATTCCTCCACGAAAAATGTTGTCTCGAATTAACTATGCCATCTAGTCGTAATGTTAACCCTTCGTTCTCCGTGCCTTTTTCGGACACGTAATTTCGGACTTGCATTTGTATTTAAAATGCAAATAAACAATTTAATCTCATCTGTTTTTGCCAATGTGGCTATTTCGAGTTACGCATGGTGTTTAACTTTTTCGAGAGTTGATTCAGTTGATAGAACAAGTATCATTCTGATCGGTTCTTTTCTAATATTCTCAATATCTCTGGAAGTATTTAATTTCAAACGCAAATAGATTCAAAATCTATTTAAAATTGGAAATCCATAATAGTTTATTGTTCTTATTTCAAATATGAAATGGATATGGGGTTTTACGTTTTGGATACCTATTTCGAATGAAATCAATTCATAAGAGTTACTCCGATTTGCGTTTATAAAAAACTCGGATAAGAAAAGTCTTTCTTATGTTTACGGGTGCTCATTTACACGCTCATTTAATGATTTACAGGTGTTCATTTATTCGAGGGATACGAAGAATGGTGTAGAACATAAATATATAAGAGACATGAAATCACGATTTCGTTTCTATGTCCGATAGTTGATGCATCGTAAATTTTCCTACGGTATTTCACTATATATATATTTAGAAACTATTTCTTTTAAGCTAAGATAATATTCTAACTTCGGTTCAGTGGATAGAACAATTGAATCGCTAAGAAACTTGTTAAGATTTAATAGAACATGTTTTATTATATTCTTTATAAAATTCTGTAAATTATCATTTAACAAAAACTACGTTAGGTGGGTCAAGGACGCTCCACAATAATACTAAAATAATTTTCATTAATTGTTAAATATTTATTTCTTTAGGAAACCCATTCTGCCCCTCGAGCGATTCGATTTCCGCGCTGCTCCCGCCGCTGGTACGCTGCGCGGCCGGAGAGGGCAGTGCGGACAGGAGGAAACCATCGATGGAATCCAGTGTAGAAACGGTGCGCACGGATTGGTTAACGTGGAAGTGGAATAGTATGAAGGTCTCCCATCGTTTCATCTTTCTCACATAAATGGTTACTAAACTGCGTGAGACAAGGATGCAATGCATCTAAATCTACTTCTCTTTGAAAAAAATTTGCCGTTTACGTTTAAGCGTGGCAAGCATTCCAGTTTACTATATGTACATATCAGTGATTGTAATTTACGCCGAGGAAATTGATGGCTTGCGAAGAACAGTCGCCCAACTTGCCGCCATTTTCAGATCTCAGTCTCCCGAGCGCTCCTTCCCATTCACCGTCTTGTAAAATCATTACTCCTGCGCAGAGCGCCAACCAGAGGTCACTACGCAGCCCCTGGCCCCCCACTATCGCAAATCCGGGTGACGTTTGGTGAGTCACATCCGGCATCTCCGCGACTCGGCCTTTCCGTCCCTAACAGCGGCAGAGGTAAGTCACGCTGCGCGTCGCTCCTCAAATATCCCAGAAATTTGCGAAATATCCTTCGAAAAGCGTCTCGCCATCCTCGCAGTGAAGCTGTCGCCTTACTTGTCTCGTCTTGTTACGTTTTAGAGACCTTTAGCCGCTGAATTGGCAGACGCAAGCAAGACTTGTTGGAAAGATCATTTAGGGATCGGGAAAGCATTTCAAGCAGAACCAACCATGTAAGTATCACGGAATTATTTATCTCTAGCTGCCGCGTGTGGATTTTGAAGCGAGGCACGTGTTAATTTTCTCGATTTCGAGTGTTTTTCGTGAAATAACGGTACCCTTTGTCCTTTGGCGAGCGCAATTGCTGGAAGGCCGCCATCTTTGTCCTTGGCCGTCGTTTCTAGTCGATTCTAGATGCCTCTTCTGCGCGTGCCTCGGTTTATTGACCCGCGCCCGTTTCTTGACGCTGCTGCGGATTTTACTAGCCCGGCCTAGCAACGCGAGGGTTTTCAACATTTATTAACGGGGCTTCCCTTCGTTGTTACTTTTGTCGACCATTCGAGCACTTGTCGCTCGTGCCCGCTCATGTAATCTGCACGCGCGATGTGCAATGGAATTTTCCGCTTTCGCGAATCTGGGACGAAACGTTTCGCATACGAATTGTGCAAAACGTTATACGAATTATTATATTCTTTGTTTCCATTATCTTCGATTTTTAATAATGCAGTGGAGTTCATTCGTTACAATGCATTTAAAAATGTAAAGTATTTGGGAAACATGATTAACTAAAAATGGTTAATTGTTGGATTGCATAATAATGCATATTTAATTTCCTTTTTGTTTCAAGAAAATTAAGACAAATAAATGTCAAGATACAGCAGTTAGCAAATGTAGATAAATAGGATAAATGTTACAAGATAACGTGTAGTTAGTTTCCTTTTTTTACTTAAAACGGATTAAAATGTTTAAAAACATTTAGTAGGGATATGAATGATTATAACAGGTGAATATACTATTAAATAATGTAGTTTAAACATGAAATTGTAACATTTGGAGTGTATTGAGTAGGAATTTCTAGTGAAAAAATGTTTTAGCATTTGATTACTCTTTTCCTTTGTAGTAATTGTGCTTGAGTACATGTGATTGCATCATTAATAAACACATGTATCATTGATATGGTACACTATATCTAGTACAAATAATTTAGTATTGTATGTTCTTAAGTAGATATGAGGGGATGAAATTATAAATAATATAGTCTATCATCTCTAATAGTGCATTTTATAAAAAATTGGGAGAGATGTAGGTAGATTAACTGTTTGGTTCTTTATCGATATGCCAAGTATTAGGCATACGTGTAGAAATATTGTTACTAATTGTAATTGAACTTGTATTTATTTTCATATAGTTTTAGAAACAGAAATTATTCAGGCTTAAAGTAATTTATTATTTGTTGAACGTTTTCATGAAATGTGTACGTACGATTAGCAATCGGTTTTTAAATATACATAATATGTAACAAATATTTAAAGATTACAAATGTAAAGGGTTTAAAAATGTTTAAATGGTTCTTTTGAGTGAGTGAATATTGAGGAAAACAAAATATTTACTAAGAATTTAGTGTACATACATGGATAACTGATGTGGGTTTGGAAACATTTAGGAACTAAAGAAGTATAAAAATTAGAAATAGAATCAGTTTGCTATTTGATAAAGGCTTTTAAGAAAATTGGATAGAATCATAAAGGTGTGTGACTGTGATATTTAAAGATATAAACATTGCCGAGATATTCTGTGTAAACTATTACTAATGTGAATGTTGAGAAAGTTTGCTTTTTTTTTTTTGGAAGGGAAGACTATCTGATTGAGCAGTCACTGATTATTGTACTGAAAATTACTAGCTGCTTTCCTTGAGAGTATCGTATAAAACCAGCATTCAAGGTTTTAACTTTCAGCTCGTATTATACCATAGTCTGCTGTGCTATAATGTATTCCAGTCTCATAGTGATGTGTTTTGTTTTAAGAAAGTTGTAAGGCGCAATGCTTTTTTTAAATCAAAGTTCAATTACAACAGTTCAGTGCTTTTATACAAGTTACAAGTTATTAATAATTTCTCAACTTGTAGAACAAATAGTTCATATAGCCTTTTCTGAAAGATTATGCATTAATCTTTCATTTCATAGAAATGTTATTGGTAGTGATTAAAAGTAACTAATGCCTATATACTATGCTTTAACGTTTGATTTAATATACATTGCACATCATACTGACATTTCATATTTTTTTATCAAGAAAATTATAAGCTTATGTACAAATACTTATTGTCACAACATATTACATATAGCCCCGATGGTAAAATAGAAGAATCCTCAAAACGTTTCTTTCGCTGTTAAATATTGATTGTCTATGTATTTTTTAATCCGCAGATGTCAAGAAACATCCAATTGATGCTACCTTTGGTGTTGATATTTCAGTTTATTTAAAAATTCTTTGAAGCCTCGTGTATAGTATCAATTGTTAAAAGAATATACCAAGTCGGTAATATTATTCTGTCAGAGTAGTCATTCTTCATATTGAATTGGTTTTCTCCTAAATTTCAATCCAGAGATATCAAGGTTTTTATTTTAAGAATTCAGGAAGTTTACATGGATAACTAATTTTCTTTGTTACGAGGATACCTTGAGGGCTATGACTAAGGCTTCTCGGTACTCTAACCATCGCAAGCGATCATAGGCGAGTGATAATAGTTGAGATTTATTTCCATTTCAAGGCTGCGCCCACTTACAGGTGTACTTGGGGCTTTGCGTCGGTTAGTATTAAAGTTCAGATTGTGTTTTCTTGTAATACAGGGGTGGGCAAAGCTCGTTTCTTGCGTACCACTGCATCATGAGAAAGCTCCTATTTGCACCAGGTAGCCTAACTTAAAAACGTTGGAATCATAGGCTATGCTTTTAAATAGTTTCTTTCTTTCTTATTTCACATTTTTCTGTGTCAATCAAATTTCATTAATTTTATTCATTGTACTTGAGCGCACAGTTTGCCCCCCATGTATTATACAACCTAAGCATAGTGTATTACAGCTTGTAGAAACGTTTGAATTGTGACACTAATATCAATGAATTTCATTTAAGGTGGCATCGTATCTATTAATGGTGTTAAAACTACCCATTTTTTAAACAAATGCAGGAAACATTAAACTACATTTAATCCTTTGCGGTCGTATGTCTACTCTCAGCCACCAAATTTCTTTTGATCTTGGGAAAATGCGACCGCAAAGGGTTAAATACAATTTAAGCACGTTATTATAACCATACCAGGCCCATACGTACCCAGAAAACTTTCAGATACGTATTAATATCATTATTTATTATCTTATATAAAACACTGAGTTATGCTCCATTGTAAAGAACCATACTTTGGAGTATGTCAGAAGTTTGTAAAAAATTTCAAGCAGACGGATTATTCCAGAGTATTCTGTCTTTGGAAGGATCATGATGAGTACTTGTTCAGAAATAATTTTTTTCATTAATTTCCGATACCATTCAATAGTTATAAAAAATCTTATTATTAACACGTTGATTGCCACGTCACCCATATTTGGGTGACATACCAGTCAAATAAAATGCGCGCGGCAGTCAACGTGTTAAAGTATGGAAAATTTGGGGAAAAAATCTTCATAGATAAGTGTAATTCTGGATAATTATGCTTCTACACAATTGTTAGTAGCCACTGTAGTTATGTATTCTATCAACTTGTATACAAAGTGAACAATGCAGACTAAAACTTGAGATACCTCACAACAAAGCTTAGAAAATGGTTTTAAAATTTCAAAACAATTTTAACATAAAGTGATAATATGTACCTAAAAGTATGGATAATAACAAACTGTATTTACAATTTCTGTTTCATTTTTTGTCTGTATCTGTCAGAAAAACGGGTATTTTAACACCATCAGTAGATATGAATCCCCTTTAGTAACAGTTATGCCAGCAAGTGTGCTCGTTTCTTGCATTTTAAGAAGGGTATAGCGTATTTGTAAGCAGTGCTGTTAAGCTTGGGATAAAAAAAAAATGTGTTTTCATGAATTCTTTCCAATTTCATGTAATTTGTTTTTTTACTTGATTTACCGTACTAAATTATGCGTTTAAATAATGTTACTACTATTAAAAAAATCTTACCAAAATTAGATGTAGATGATTATAAGAACCTTAATGCAACAAAGTGTTGTGTTCCATTTTTCAATTCCAGTATTTAAATTGCACTTTTAAGTTTGAGTTTGATAATGACTTGTTACGAGCAAAGTATACATTCCAAGCCTTGGGCGCTGCTTGCACTCGAAACGTTTTGCTCGATATCCTTGGTCTAACTCATCTGAAAGAGGCCATATAAAACATTGGCAGATGCAATGTTCTTCATTAATGAAGTCACTTTTTGTGTTCAATAAAATAAGTCAACAAAATACCGATCGAACCCCTCTCATTTTGGCATGCCTGTGCCTAGAATCTCGGCAGAGCATAAATGCTTGTGGGAGGTAGATTAAAAAGATCTGTGAACTAATGCCTTCGGTGTCCACACACATTATGTCTGGATTCCATCCTCAAAGTTCACTACAAAATTCATTTGAAGCATTCCTCGAAGTTAAATGCTCGAGTCAGAAAGTAAACGTGCAAATTTTAACGAAAAGCTTTCACTCTATTTTCAGGACTTACGGTGTTTCGTCCGGTGGTTACCGTAATGGAGGAAGTCGAGGAATCAGTGGTCAGAGGAATGGCTTTGGGGGAGGTGGTGGAGGAGCAGGACGGTTCGGCAACCGAGGCACTATGGGTGGCGGAGGTGGAGGACCAGGTCGTAACATGCGAGGAGGCAACGGAGTCGGAGTAGGTAGCAACCTTCGCAAGCCCAACTGGGAGTACGAGAACTTGAAGCCCTTCAAGAAGGACTTCTACGTGCCCCACCCGAACGTCCAGACCCGTCATCCTAGGGAGGTGGACATCTACCGAGAGGAGAAGCAAATCACCCTGAAGGGCGAAAAGGTTCCCAACCCAATCCAGTTCTTCGAGGAGGGCAACTTCCCCGACTATGTGATGCAGGGCATTCGCAAGCAGGGCTTTTCAGAGCCCACTGCCATTCAGGCCCAGGGTTGGCCGATCGCCATGTCGGGGCAGAACATGGTGGGCATCGCCCAGACTGGCTCAGGAAAGACCTTGGGCTACATTCTACCAGCGATCGTGCACATCAACAGCCAGCAGCCTCTCAACCGAGGAGATGGCCCGATAGCCCTGGTGCTCGCTCCCACCAGGGAGCTGGCGCAGCAGATCCAGACCGTGGCCAATGACTTTGGATCGCTGTCTTATGTTAGGAACACCTGCATCTTTGGTGGGGCCCCCAAGGCCTCGCAGGCTCGAGATCTGGAACGTGGCGTGGAGATTTGCATTGCTACTCCGGGCAGACTCATCGACTTCCTCGAAAGAGGCACCACGAATCTCCGTAGGTGCACCTACTTGGTCCTTGACGAGGCGGACCGCATGCTAGACATGGGATTCGAGCCACAGATCAGAAAGATCATTGAGCAGATCAGACCAGACAGACAAGTGCTCATGTGGTCCGCCACTTGGCCTAAGGAGGTTAGGAATCTTGCTGAAGAATATCTTACCAACTACACCCAGCTCAATATTGGTTCTCTCAGCCTTGCTGCCAATCACAATATTCTTCAGATCGTCGATGTTTGCCAAGAAAACGAGAAGGAATCCAAGTAAGTTAACTTATCCTGATATGACGCTTTTTTTTAATTTTTATGAACTGAAATTTATAGGGACCGTTCATTGGCAATGGTTTAAATTTAAAGAAATGCCCTTTTTTCAGTTAAGGGGCTTAATTTAAAGTAAATTCAAATTATTATAAGTGAGGTATTTTTAATCTATGATAGGAAAAGATTCAATGCTGACTCCATAATTATTAAAACAAAGCTGTTATGTTAAACAAAACTAAACAAAAACAGTGTATTCTAATCCAATTGTGTTTATATATTGGAAGGTATCCATAAATGCTGTTTGATCAAGGTTTAGAGTTCTCTAAATTGCTAGATTATTTGTGCCTACAACTATTTTACAATGTTCCATAATAATTTTTGAGTACATCAAGTTATAGCAAAACAATAAGCATACATCGAAAGGTCGAATAATTTGTTTCTTAAGCTGAGATAAGCTAAAAAAATTTGGATTTAAAAATTTTTTTAATTTTCAATACTTATGATGATATGTTCTTTATGATACTTTGTGATTTTGACTATACACTTTTCTCTAAGAAGATCTGACTGTTCTAGAACAAATGCTTTAACATTTGAATGGATAAACCGTTTATTAACCTGTACGTTTTCTTTCCTATTTGCAGATTGGGTAACCTTCTGCAGGAGATCGGTAACGTTAACGAAGACGGAGGAAAAACGATCATTTTTGTGGAAACCAAGAAGAAAGTAGAAAACATCACGAGGAACATTCGTCGCTATGGTTGGCCCGCAGTGTGTATGCACGGGGACAAATCGCAACAGGAACGTGATCATGTTCTCAGAGGTAGAGGATTTCTTTTGGTCTCCTTTCCTTCACAGATTTAATAGTTCTGTAATAAATTCAGTTTTACACATAATAGCTAATTCTAGTTTTTCTCATGATACGAGAATTCTCCATCGGAGAGTCTTATAACCTCCAAGTCGAGATTACACACCAACTATGTACCTGTTTTTAACTGAAGATTTGTTTCAATCAATGTTAAACTCTATGCATTTTGTTCGTATGGACCAATAAGAGAAAATAACCACTGGAAAAAAGAGGGTATTATTTATTGAATTAATCGTTTAACTGCTTATCTATGAGCTATCGATATAGTAGACTGTTAAATCAATTGTGTCAGTAAAGGGTTAATTAATAAAATAGCGTTTATAAAGTGCATGCTTAGCTTAAATTCCTTTCCAGATATTTAACATTTAATTTAACTATATTATAAATGAATTACTGAAGGGATAAAGGATTTTAATTGTGTTGTAATTTTTCTGTTACAGAGTTTAGGAACAAGAAAGGTTCGATTCTTGTAGCAACAGACGTTGCTGCTCGTGGACTGGGTAAGTTGTCTACAGAAACAGGGTTAGGTTTCAGTGCATACTCGCAAAGTTTAGTTTGGTACGATGAAAGATCGAAGGCCAGGTGACGTGTCGGGGGTTCGACTGGGCCAGGTCAGGGGACTTAGGATGAGTGGCGATGTAGCACAGACTGGTAATATGAAGGTGATGCCTCACTAGTGGAAATCCAAGAGCCAAATACGTTAATTCCTTTTTTCTTTCTCCATACGTTCAATCGGTACGGAACATCCATTCGATTTGATACACCACTGTTACTGCGAAGGATAAAAACCATAAGTTTCCAGAGCACGAACGGTTTCACGATGTCCAATCTTGATGTTCGCTGTCACGATACTCTGTGCAAGAGGCTTTTTGATGCATTGAAACCTCTGTGATGAGAAAGTGTTGCGAATGCTGGGTGAGGACTTCGAAAAGACCTCATCGAGACCTGGGGATTAAAGTAGATTATTTATTTTTATATACTTTTACTTGCTTGGTAAATAAATGTGGAAGATCTAATCGTTTCGATGCACCTCTATCAAGCCAAAGGATAGAACTGGTTATCGTAGTGGTCTGAACTTTGCATAAGCAGTTGTGCCTCTGCGTAAGGGCTTCGGTAAACTGAGGTTTCAGTGTACTTTGAAGTGTTACGATAAATGACACTCACTGCAAGTGCTGGTTGAGGCCTTTCGTAAGGAAAAAGGTGTATTCTTGCAGTCGAAGTACTCCCAGCAGGAAAAGGTGACCATGCTACCTTTCGGCTTAACTCCGAAGCCTGCAATTTCGGGACCTTGAACATTCTCAAACTTCGCATAAGCTTGCAGCCTGTGCAATAGAAGGCATTAGTTTGTTGGTTCGAAGAACTGAGTCACTCCGTTCATTTTCCTTCATTCCCCCCCCCCCCCACTTATACGAAAACTGAGCCCGCAGTCCTGAATTCTGCTAGGTTTTTTATTTTTCATACACTTGCTTGAAATTATTTAAACGTTTAATTTAGTTTCTATAAAGTTGATTTAAGTTAGAGAATTACGGTTGGGTAAACAACAATCATAATAAACATAATCGAGAAATTCGATGTGATTACAATTATTCGTTACGACTGTAGTGAATTTGATGTTTACTGAATGGTCAAAAGGAAAATTGAATGAAATAATATCAAAGTGCATAGTTTTATTTGTTAAGGGGATGTCAAAGTGGCATCCGTACAGTCAATCGATTATAAAACTTTTCTCTGAACTGGCTGTGCTGAATTGTTTCAAACTTTTCAACGTGAATGTGGAGGCTGTAAGGAAGGTCTTGACATTCATGACATTTTATTTTTTATAACATTGTAAAAATACCTTGGAACAAATTTTTAACAAATTGAAATATGAGTTTCAGGACCTTACTTGTACCCTCCACATTTATATTGTAAAGTTTGAATCGATTTGGTACACTCAGTTCGGAGAAAAGTTCCGTGATTGAGAACTGTTTGACGCCACTTTCACATCACCTTAATCAGAAAGTGTTTATGCAATCAAAATTGTAGCCAAATATCGATTAGGAATATTATGCGTTTTCCTTGTCTCTGATGTCAAAATTCAATATGGCCGATCTGGCATTACTGAATTCTTAACATTTTTTTTTTGTTATTAAAAATGATGGTGCATTCAGAGGAGACAACTGTTGAGTGATCGGTTAGCGCTCATCTGCTGAATGGGTACGTTTACTCAACATATTTACTGATCAGACCATTCTGATCGCCATTTTCAGCAGAAAATCGCAACATGTTCCCAACTCATCCATAACTGTTTTTCCCTCTGAATGCACCCATTGTATTCAGTACGCTGGAAAATTGCATTGATCCAAATTGTATGATGCACTGATTTATTTGAACAAAAATGAAATAAGATGGTACTCAAGCAATTTGTTTAAATATTTGTTAACTTGAATATAAAATAAGTTACTGAAAGGAATGTTGAATGTAATTAGTTTAGCAAATTAACAACAATTTTGGGATTGACCCGGAATATTTAATTATCAAAATAAGGAGTGCATCAATATACACATGTACGTACCAGCTCAAGGATTAATAATCGATGGCAATTTAATTCAGTCTTTCATAGTATTATAGTAGTACTTCCTTAGTTTTAAGTTGACTCACTTAAATAATAAGTTTTGCTAATGCCGGGAGACCAACTCACAGCAGACGAACATAAACGATCTTGAATTCTACGATTTACATGACATTGCAATTATTCTTCAAAACTGAATTCACAAAGACCTAAAACGATTAACAAGAACGAAGTTTGTTAACGGTAATACATAAACAGGCCAATGCCACTGCCAAGGGTCTTGATTTCATAAAGTAAAGTAATTACGTTTATAATGTTTTAAGTACCAAGGATTCGTTTGAAGAAAACTTACTTGAAATAAGAAATTATTTGACGAACCTAACGGAATAATATCAAGACAATAAATTAACTAACTATTACACTTATAGTTACTGACATTTCTATCATGGACAGAGAAATACATCGACTTATCCCAACTATCGAACCAACTAATGCCACTTTGAATTAAACTACTAACAACAAATTGTATTATATATATAAAGCAATCTAATGCAGTCTATAAGACGCCAAGATCCCTCATGCGAAGGGCTTGTGCTGAACGATTGAGAACTGTGATCCTTCGACTTTCCGTTCTGTCTCTCCGGTCGATTCGCAAAGGCTCCCCGGGGAGTCTCTGCGAGGGCTTAATCTTTAGCGATCTTAAGTGTGGGCATCTTGTAATTTATGTTAATCAGTCTGGTTGTCCTTTGTTTCAGAGGCACATGGTGCACAGTCTGGTGTTGAGTGTGCAATGAGCGTAGAGTCCAGTCGTAGTAAAATGCTGAGAGGCCATCGCTCACTCACTCCGCTGTGTTCTAGAAAAGAGATGATATATGCAAGCGATATTACTTGACTTGAGGAAGTGTCGTGTGCCTAGAGAAACGAAAACAAAACACGAACGTGGAAACGCAAAAAATGTATATATATTTATATATATATATATGCAGTACACGTGTCTAGGAAAGAAATGTCAAGCGAAGCATATAACCTAATGTGCCTCTGCGTACTCACCTGTGTACCACATGTACCTCATGTATCTTGTCGACGGACTGTCCGAATCCTTGGCAAGTTTCGTCGACTGTGTGGTGCAAGGGTGTGATGATCGTCCTTCGTGCTGGTTGGCTAAGGGAGATATATTCGACTCCGGTTAGCACGTGACACTCCGGTGACACGTCGTGTGCTACACCGAGTAACCAACGTCAACTCCATAGTCAACTTACCACAGCCGGTGCGAGAGACAACTGGTCAGTCATTGACTTTGCTACTATCGCTACTCGATGGGGACGAGATCTCACTGTAGGACCGATTTGACACTAGCGACCCTCTCGATACAGAGTTTGGAACGCTACCAGGGTTTGTATTAGTGTTTTCATGGCGCCTGTAAAAGGGAGGAAATTGTCACGCTTCAGGGGCGGTATTAACTCGGAGGGATGTCAGGGTTGGAGGTTATGTCGATCGAGATTTACCGGTTAACCCGTGTATCTAGGCGGAATAAAGTAGCATAGGGAGGTCTCATGGTTGGATAATTTCACGTTTTTTGAGGTTGACATATATTACGTAAACTACGTGGTTTACTGTAAAAAAATAGTAGAAAAACAATAAATTACGTTTCCAATATGGAGGGTATCGCAGATGTGCGGATATATACGGTTTCCGCTATGTTATAAACGTCTTTTAACACATATATCACGTAAATACTTTTGAGGAATAATAAAATAATTCAATGTTTATTCTCAAAATTGTTTAGAATTTTACGTTTCCAATATGGTGGATGCCGCAGATGTATTATATGTATCCGCCAGGTTATAAACGTTTTTTATCTAATACGTAACCACGTCAGTATTTTTAAGGAATAAATAACTTAGCGCTCACGTTTAAAATTCTTTCGACTTAACCCTGTTTAGTATCAAATTTCTAACTGGATTTATCATTTTCTATTTAGAAATAAAAGAATGTAACATACTTCGCGCTTGCGTAGATAATTAGAAAGATATACGTTGTTATGTACGCGTAAAAAATCACGTATATTACGTAACGTATTATACCTATCCAACCCTGGGAACTCCCACTAAAGGGGATTTTTCCAGATCATTCTGATCCCGTGTTTCTTGCCAAATTAACCGACGGTGACACTAGCGATCCTTGCGGAAAAATTGTGTAACTCGATTATGCAACATGGCGGCGATTAGAATGTGCCAGATGTGGTACAGATGCAAAAGTCGGCGCGTGTCGCTTTTATTTATTAATATTTGGAAGATGTTTACTTAACGATACTTATTACTAATTTAATAAACTTATTACTAATAAGTATCATGGAGGTTAAATGGTTTGTGATTATCATGTAAGTATTTTTTGACAGCCATTCGTAAAAATTTTAAAGTATTGGTTTCTTTCGCAAGAGCCGCTAGTGTCACCGTTGACTAACTTGATAAGGAAATATAGGGTTAGTTTTATGTGGAAGTGATAGTTGGTCATGCTACTTCTTTTGTTTTGTTGTCGTTTATCACTTACTCTAACCGGATTTACAAGGAGGAAAAGTTTCGTTAACGGGATGTGCAAAGAATACGCGATTGGGTTAAGTTCGGTCACATTTGCAGGCAGCCAAATTCGATATCCACTTTGCGCCATGTCTGGGTAGGAAGTTCAAATTACGGCGGTTTGCAGGGTCGTTTTGACGTAAGAGATTAGGAGATACAATACGAGACCAAGAACCTTGTCGAGGCCTTGCGAAAACATCTCGGATGGTTTCGCTGTCACCGAAGGGGGTTAACTTCGATTTTTGTACCACTGTTTGCTATGACATTTCTTCTGATTCTTTGGTTCTCTTTTATTTAATCTTGCGAATTATTTGCGAATAATGTCTGTGTATAGACATTTCGCAAACAAGTCCCTTTGTAAATGAAATTGTCTGTCGATTCTCCTGTTCCGTGTTCCGAAAAGAGGGAGGATCAACGCCGACAAGATGAATTCTTTATTGTTATATGTCGGACATGACAGAACAAGCGTTGAAAGCTTTTTAAAATACTCCTGTTGGTTAATGAAATACTTTTGGCTCTCATTGCATTCCTTGACCTCCACGATCCAGGTTTCTGGACTTGGGGAGGGGTATCGATTCATTGAGGGCCATTTGAAAAATTAACACCTGAACGATATGATGGAACATGTGCTATAACAGAATTCTTCTCTTAGACGTCGACGATGTCAAGTACGTTATCAACTTCGACTATCCCTCATCGTCGGAGGACTACATCCACAGGATTGGTAGGACTGGGCGATGCCAGAGCACTGGCACCAGCTACGCATTTTTCACGCCGCAGAACAGCCGACAGGCTAAGGATCTCATTAACGTTCTCCAAGAGGCTAACCAGGTTGTCAACCCGAAACTCTCCGAACTGGCTGCGAGGGGTGGTGGTGGCGGCTACGGTGGACGTAGTAAGTATTCATCGAAGAAGAAGCGTATCGTTACGCTTTTCCCTCGTTTCTGACATTTAGACGGACATACTAATGTTAAATGGTTAAGGTGAAGTGAAACCCCCTTCAAATCAGTCGATTCGAATACAACACTTTTTTTAAGGGTATTGAACCAAACTATCCGAAATTTTGAAACATGACTCGTGATCATCTAAGAGTTATCCTGACACATTAAATATTTGGATTTTTTTTTAAATTGTTTAACTTAACCCAGACCAAAACCAAAATGGCGTTAAGCTCTCATATTTCGATCAATCTACAATTATAAAAGGCTCTGATATGAGAAACGAAATGGTCAGGATAATATTACGACAATTTAGAACACTCTGGTAATCGATAAACTCGAATTTGAACGAGATAAAGGCAAAAAAAGTGTAGAGTGTAGAAAAAGTTCTATGCCAAAACGATGGTAATATGAGGTCTCGGAGTGAAAATTTAATTGACCTACTAATCACAGATGGCGCAGGGGGTTCCTCTGCAGTCAATTTGAGCCCCAGAAAGCATGAATCCAGAGGACTTCTAGAGTTATATTCAATTTCTTTATAATTATTGTACGAAAACGACAGGTGGAGTATGCCATTTGGTACAATACCCAATATAATTCGACACAGCTGTCGATATAAAAACGAACGTCGACAACGTAGGCATTTAGAAAAATCTTCTTTATCAACGTCGATCAAGTTCCTCAACGTGTTTCACTTCACCTTAAATGGTTAAGGTGACGTGAAACCTATCGAGAACTTTAATCTACGTCGGTAAAAAAAAGATTCATGTAATTGGGATAATAATCTTCGTTGCGACAGTTGTACGTATATTAACGTTTTTCTCACGTATTGATTGTACAGACTGGTACAGTCCAGATGTCGTTTCTGTGCTATAATTATATTGAGATCGATGTAAACCTTGAGAAATCACCATGGATTCATGATTTTCGATACTGTAATTGACTGCCAGAGTGCCACCCTGCGCTATCTGTGATTTCAGTGCCAACTAAATTTCCTCTCTGAGACTTTGTGTTACCATCGTTTTAGCACAGAAGCGCATAAGACACTTTTTTTGCCTTTATTCCGTTCAAATGCGAGTTTCTCGATTACTAAAGTGTTCTAAATTATTGTTCCGACACTATCGTTTTTTATATCACAGCCTTCAATAAATGTATTGGTCGAAATTATGAGAGCTCGACGCCATTTTGGTTCTGGTCAAGGGTTAGTCAACAGGTATTTTTTTTTTCAGAAATTCAAATTTTGAAAGTGTCAGAATATTTCCTAGATGCTCACAAGTCCTGTATCAACGTTTCAGACAGTCCGGTCTAATACGCTTTAAAAAAAGTGTTATTCGAATCGACTGATTTGAGAGGGGGATTTCACTTCACCTTAAATAATCTGTTTTACTTTCTAAAATTACCTTAACTTTCTGTTACCGACTTGCCATTCTCCTGGAATCGGGTACACTTTGATAATAAAATCATAATCTTTCAGCCTCTATAAATTCTCCATTTTGAGTTATTGAACGTCTTTGCCCGACTCTCTCTGAAGACAAATTTTGGATGCATGTGAAGCAGATGTAAAGCGCAGCCATTTTCAGGCCGGTGACGACTGCACATGCGCTCTTTGCGAGTGAATACACAAAAACTTTACATTCGATAAGCGATGGCAATGTGCTACCATCTCGCATCTGAAGCCGAAATCTGCATCTTATACTTTATAAAATTACTGCTCTACGTGCTTTTGAAGGCCTCGTTTTCAAAAAGAGTCGGACAAAAGTTATCGTGCATATCGCGGTAAGGTACTTTTGTCTCGCGTGAGTGGCAAAATTTACACCTCTAAAAATGATATTTACGCCCTTCTGTACGATGCACTATTTTTAACGCAAATTTTCTGTAGAACGCGAAATAATGTAGTCTCGTAGAATGTATTTTTTATGACTTTTTATTCACTTTTTAATCCTTTCGATATGATCATGCCTTTTCTCGGTATGTTTCCGCTCTACGGATCGATCGCGACAAACGCGTTCACCATAGTCAAAAAGACAAATAGAGAAAAGAAAGATGCATAGTAAAAAAAAAATTCAATTAGAGTGATGAATCAGTGGAAAATTTTAACGGTTGACGATGATCATCCGTAGTATCTGAAAGATTAAGCCCACTTTAATCAATAATTTCGCAACTTATTAGCCCCCTCAAGGTGATGTCAAATTCAGTCTATATATATCAGGAACTCTAATTGTTTGTGAATGTATTCCCCGAATTGGATGTACCGATTCGTTTCAAAATTCACCACGTGAATATAGAGGCCCTAAAGTAGGTCTTGAAACTCACGAATTTTCATTTTTCATCAAAAATTGATTTAATTATCATTGACTAGACCCGCATGGCGTGGTACGTGCACGTTTTCGATGTTTTACGCTTCTTGGAGATTTGTAATCGAAAATTAAGAGTTTCATCACCTACTTCGAACAATTCAGAATACCGTAGAAATAGAATATTACAGAGTCAGTTGTGAAAATATGGAAAATACTTTCACCAACGATTGCAAGAGATTGTTGGCTTGTCTCGGGGCTAACACGTGTCTGTAGAGCGAAAATATAGTTGCAGCTGGATATCATAGATGGCGACGTTAGTCTTAAACAATGGTTAGAATAATAAATTCACGGAATTTCGACAGTTTTACATTGATCTCTTCATTATTACTTTGCTGAAAATGTCATATGGAACGCTTCGGTTCATATAATTATCAACGTAGACTGTAAAAGACTTCAACATAAATATAAATGTTGGTAACGTGACGCGCCAGTTTATATTACCATTTGAGTATTCAAAATGACGTTACCAACAAAAAGGGTATAGATGAATTTTAATTTATCGACGTCGAATGAATTTCTCAGCGCCTTTCGTTATCACCTTAAGGTGAAGTGAAACACGTCGAGGAACTAGATCGACGTCGATAAAGAAGATTTTTCTAAATGCCTACGTTGTCGACGTTCGTTTTTATATCGATAGCTGTGTCGAATTATATTGGGTATTGTACCAAGTGGCATACTCCACTTGTCGCTTTCGTACAATAATTATAAAGAAATTGAATATAACTCCAGAAATCCTCTGGATTCATGCTTTCCGGGGCCCAAATTGACTGCAGAGGGACCCCCTGCGCCATCTGTGATTACCAGGTCAATTAAATTTTCACTCCGAGACCTCGTATTACCATCGTTTTGGCATAGAAGCGCATACAACACTTTTTTTGCCTTTATCCCGTTCAAATGCGAGTTTATCGATTACCAGAGTGTTCTAAATTGTCGTAAAATTGTTCTGACCCTTTCGTTTCTCATATCATAGCCTTCGATAATTGTATATTGATTGAAATGTGAAAGCTCGACGTCATTTTGGTTTTAGTCTGGGCTAAGTTAAAAAATTGTATGCAAAAATCTAAATTTTAAATGTGTCAGGACAATTCTTAGATGATCAGGAGTGATGTGTCAAAGTTTCGGACAGTTTGGTCTAATACCCTTAAAAAAAAGTGTTGTATTCGAATCGACTGATTTGAAGGGGGTTTCACTTCACCTTAATTCGCGTACAGCAGAAATGTGGAAATGTAGGTGGATCTTGAGAAGATGCAGGGCCATCGCGCTATTTCTCTTCCGAGAAAATGGTTCCAAGAGAAAAGAGCGCGTCCTAATTTCGTTGCTCGCTTTTCCAGACCGTTGGGGCTATGGCGGTGGACGCGGTAGGGAGAACTCCTTCGCCGGCGTGCACAAGCGCTTCGACACTGGACGCAACAGCTATAACAACTACAGTTGATTCGGCGGAGTACTCGCTGCCGATGGTCGTGGTATCGCGCGAAACGCGACCCCCTGGGGTCCGGATCCGACTCGCCATCCGTAGGAAATGAAGAAAGAAGAAAAGAAAAGAAGAAAAACGCAAAAAAGGCGCGCGACCCGAGTCGGACAGTAACCAAGGATCATCCACGCCGTTGTGTCCCTTCCTTTTCTCTCTCTCTTTTTCTATTTAATATCCTGCCCCGGGAGCTCTCTTCTATCCACGCGCGCGCGCACAGAGGGGGAAGAACGAAAGCACGGCCGAGTATTAAATACACCAGCCCCGCGTGTTTCGGTGACAAAAAGGAGCGAGGAATCGCCTCCTCCGCAACTGGATGCTGGCGAGGATTTGCGACCGATCAAGTACAAAACAAAAAAGAAAGAAAAAAAAAGAAGGATGGGAAAGGGAGAAGCGTGCATCCCTCCGAGGGCGAAGGAAAAGTCCGCGGTGGAATTCTCGATTCCTCTCCCGAGAGAATGTGTTTTTAGCAAATCGCGAGTCTCTTCCTCGGGGCTGCGCGCGTTTTTACCCTGGGATTAAATGTGTTATGTGTACGTGGATTGGTAGGACCGTCGAGTACCTGTAGAGAAGGTATCAGAGATACGGCGGAAGAGAGTATGTGTGTATGTGCGAGAGCGTGCCGCCCCGCCGCGAGGACGACGCGGTGCGCGGGATCTTTCCGATCCCGGAACTCGTGGCTTAGAAAGCGTCGACAAAAGAGTCGATTCGGATCTTCGGGTGTTCGGGCGGGACGCCCGAGAGAGAGAAGGTACTCTCGTGAACTTTCAGTATTCATTCCAAGGATCAAATGGAATGGCCCGGGCAGCGGCCCCGGTCGGCGGTCGCCTGGTTTCGACCCTGGAGCTTACAGAAATCGAGGAGGTGTATTATGGTACATTTCGAGGGTTCGGAGACGATTAAACAAAAAGAATAATCTTCCCCTGCCAAGCCTTTCCGGAAGTATGCGCACTGCGAATCGAGCGAAATTTAAGCGATAACGTAAATGAAAAATATGAAGGAATTGATTCCTTACTTTCAATGAGAAATTTGTTCTATTTGTGGCATCACTAGAGATGTGATAAATGCTACACGTTGTAAACCTGAGCGGTAAGAACCAGGAATGTTTACAGGTGGAAGATATCTTTTTGATCAACGATTATAACTCGTATTGAAAGCGCTGGTTCTCGTCCGATCATCAAAGTTGAACAACATTAGGCGCGGTCAATACTTGGATGGGTTTAATGTATAGAATCGCCGCGTAGCGAAGATAAATTAACGCAACTTTCGAGATTTTGAATGTTACCGAAGGTGTCCAGATATGATACCGCAGGCTAAAGTACGCCCTAGATGGCGCTGCGGATCGCTTCCGTTGAGCACTCTTCGAGTACCATTTTTGTCTCTTATATTTGTATGCGCTCCATGGGTGGCGATCACGTGACTCCCCGGATCAGCTGAGTGACGGAGGGTCAGGTGGTCGATTGACACGACTCACGTGATCCGAGATCGGCCGATCGTTCTTCGACCGGGGCTTGACAAGTTCCGCGGGCAGTTTTCTACAGCTCCGGTTTGTAACGATTAAATGAATTTTCTGTTTCTTTGATATAATCCGTAGCTTGTGCAGACCCTTGTTACACCGGAAAACAAAAAAAAAAAGCGAACGTTGCGTAACTCGGAACTCGCGGGGGATATCCTTCGGATACGTTCGGCGGCGCCGCCGGATTTTGATTTTTCACCCTTAACGATTCGTCGGTCCGCGGAACATTTCGAGATTAATGTAATAATCGGAATCCGTAGTCGGTCTGGGCAAGTCGGTTATTTAGTTTTCCCGTTTCCGTGCCGTGTGCAGCATTTTATGCAGATTCTAGCGTGCACACCTATAGCGATGTATGTCACGATTTACAGTACCAAGAATAAAAAAAGAATTGAAAGCCAGGTGGATATGGCGTGTTTATTCCCCCTCGATTTTACTCCGTGGGTCAGTTTTCGAGCCTTCTTTCATACCGGACACTGTTGGATGATACGATCGTAGAACTGTTCCGTCTTGGTAATATTTTCGAGGTTTTGGCCACTGCTGTGTCTACAACTGAGATTCATAGTTTCGTTATATTACTTTCAATGAGGTTGAAACAGCTGTACAATTTTGTTTTTTTCTGAAGTAATGGATTTTTATTTTTAATTCTAACGTCTCAAGGCATATCTTTGTTTTCTGTATTTGAAATATATTCATATATGTTTTTTAGGACACACGTATGCATCTGCACCGAAGTGTAGCAGTGACCAAATTCTCGACGCTTGTAAATGCTTAATAGCACCTTATGATATCAGGATTATAGTAAACAAATCGAGTTGTTCTGCGCCTGCGATACGTTCTTATCGATAAATATAGTGCTACCGAAGGTTCGATGACGAACGTTCAACTAAATTTCAGTATTCACTTAAATATTAAGTAGTCCGAATGCCTTCGATCGCTGTAAGATTGTGACCACGTGGTCTCTCCGATCAGCTGATTTTATCGGGAGGCATTTACCACGTGACCTTCGCGTCAGCTGATTTCGACCTTAGATCATGTATACCTATATCTCGCATTGGACCTCTCACTTTCAAATGTTTAAGGCGAAGTGAAACACGTCGAGGAACTTGATCGACGTCGATAAAGAAGATTTTTCTAAATGCCTACGTTGTCGACATTCGTTTTTATATCGACAGCTGTGTCGAATTATATCGGGTATTGTACCAAACGGCATACTCCATCTGTCGTTTTCATGCAATAATTATAAAGAAATTGAATATAACTCCAGAAATCCTCTGGATTCATGCTTTCTGGGGCCCAAATTGACTGCAGAGGGACCCCCTGCGCCATCTGTGATTACCAGGTCAATTAAATTTTCACTCCGAGACCTCGTATTACCATCGTTTTGACATAGAAGCGCATATAACACTTTTCTTGCCTTTATCCCGTTCAAATGCGAGTTTATCAATTACCAGAGTGTTCTAAATTGTCGTAAAATTGTTCTGACCCTTTCGTTTCTCATATCATAGCCTTCGATAATTGTATATTGATTGAAATGTGAAAGCTCGACGCCATTTTGGTTTTAGTCTAGGCTAAGTTAAAAAATTGTATACAAAAATCTAAATTTTAAATGTGTCAGGACAATTCTTAGATGATCAGGAGTGATGTGTTAAAGTTTCGGATAGTTTGGTCTAATACCCTTAAAAAAAAGTGTTGTATTCGAATCGACTGATTTGAAGGGGGCTTCACTTCACCTTAATAAGCGGAATGGCTTTAACCGTGTGTGAGTGAGAGTCGTCTCGTGTGGTATATTCATTTACCCCTTCCACTGCAGAGCAATATAGTCCACACATATATGGTCTAAACTCTGGTCAGGGTTGGGTAATTTTGCGTTTTTAAAAGTTTTTGACGTACATTACGTAAACCACGTGGCGTACCGTAGAAAATCGTAGAAAACCAGTAAATTACGTTTCCAATATGGAGGATGCCGCGGATGTGCGATACATACGGCATCTGCTATGTTATAAATGACTTTTAATCCCTTGCCTTACGATTTAAATTCCAATGGCGCGTGCCATAAATAAAGAAAAATGTCGGTCATACATCGGGCCATTCACGGTTTGGCTGAACGTTCAAAGTCTCACGCGTCTCTCATACGTTTTGTTTTCGTTTGGCCCGATTGACATTCCACGTCTCACACGTTTGACCCGATTGATATACCACGTCCCTCCACGATATTGTAGGTGAAGAGGTTAACACACATATAAACACGTAAATACTTTTGAGGAATAATACATTAATTCGACGCGTATGCTTAAAATTGTTTAGAATTTTACGGTTGCAATATAGCGGATGCCGCAGCTACGTGATACATGTATCCGCCAGGTTATAAACGTCTTTTAGCTTACACGTAAGCCCGTCAGTATTTTTAAGGAATAAATAATTTGGCCCTTGTGTTCAAAATTCTTTCGACTTAATCATGTTTGATATTACATTTTTAACGGGATTTATCATTTTCTATTTAGAAATAAAGGGGTGTAATGTACTTCGCGCTCGCGTAGAAAATTATAAACGTATTATACGTGGTAATATACACGTAGAAAATACGTATATTACGTGACGAATTATCCCTATCCAACCCTGGGTCCGATCTTTGTACGTACATAATGCACATGTAGTGCTTTTGAGTTTACCCCCCTTCCACTGAAGTGCGAGGTCTAGATTATACATTGTCTAAGATTTCGGCCACGTGACTCCGGATCAGCTGATCAATGCACACGTGGCGTAGCTTCCGATCGCATTTACTAGCAATTTTCAATGGTTCGGTGTTACGTTTAAATTAATTTTCTCTTTCGCGAAGACGTTAGTAAAGGCAAGTAGTATGCAAATGTGGGATGGTATTTCGTAATGACTTGCCTTTTCCATTTCGTTGCGGGACAAGTCGGTTATTTATCTTTTTCGATGCTGCTTGCTGCATTTACGTTTGTTTAGCGTGCACAACCGTAGCGACATATGTTATGATTTACTGCACCAAGAATAAAAATGGTAAAAGTCATTGACTATTTGTTTATTCATCCTTGACATTACGAGAATTTGTTTGGTGTTCTTGTTCCCTTCTTTTCCATTTACGCGGATTAGTGTTACATGCGTGCGTCGAGTTTCAAGATTCATTTGTAATGTATCTGAGAAATTCGAAACCTAAGGTATTGTAAAATTCTAAAAGTAGCAAATTTTAAGGAAAATAATATTAACACATTTTCCGTTAAACATTCTTGACTGTAATACAACCAAATTGAGTAATAGTTCATTCACCTGTATGCCCGTAGAATAATACATTATAATGTCTGACTTATAATCTAGAAAATATCTGTTCTGTCTGAAATACCCGTTCTGTGAATGTAAATGCCCGAAGGTGATATTGTTGGAAATTTTGATGAATAATATTTAACAACTCGTTGAAATACCCATACTGTTTAAACAAACGGTCTTCATTGAAAAATAATCTCGACTCATTTGCCGTTTTCATGATTAATGTTGATATAAATTGCACGAATTGTACTTATAGATTACTTAAATACAGAAAAAAAGTAAAGCTAATGATTGTTACTTATTTAACTAAATGAACTTTTCAAAAAGGATGCAATTTAAGAAATATAATGCAATTACTGTTGCTAATATAACTGTTACCAACGTTCGTGTCTTTAATTTTTTTAAATAAAACATGTAAATGGCGTGTAAATATATTTATTTATAAAAAACAAAGATATTCAAATGATCCCTCAATGGGTGTTGGTAGTAACATTTACGTAAACTGTATCAGCGATGGTACGTGATAATATTAAAGCATTGTTTTTTCACAATATTGGCACTCTTAACGGTTAAATTGTACAATGGTAATTATTTATAACTACGAGAGTAGCATCTGATTCTTAAATCCGATAAAGTCTATATTTTAACAATACACTTCGGCTGTTTGGTAAACAATCCGAGATCAAAAATTGTGCAAAAATAACCAGTATTCGTTTTTCTTTTCCTTGTTATTTTCGGAACACTGTTCGCACTCTTAAGTTAAAGAGAAAATCATGAAAAGACTTCCAAGTAATACCAAATTGTTTCGGAGAAAAAATATATGGATCATTTATTGATAACATGAACAGATAACTTATAATTTAATTTTGAACATGATAACTTATTTTTATATAACATTTGCACCGTTAAAAATTATATTGCATGGCGTTGATGGCAATCACATTGTTACATAGAAGCTCTCTTAACACGATAAATAAAAGTGTTTCTTACTGAACTAGATAAAACTAATATTTCTTAATTTCAGTGTTTGCTTCAGCTGGAGGAAATCCATTGTGAATCCGAAGTTAAAAAAATGTGCAAAAATTGCTGCCCGGATAGAAATTCATGATGATCGTATGATCAAGAAAATCGATTTACAAACAATTTACTGCATGAAATGTTTGCAATGAATGTACGCATATTATACAATAAATTTGAACAAAAATTCGCGGTAAATTTAACATAAATGGTTGTAGCAATATATTTACCACATACTGGAGGCATGCCAGTTATGCCACAATCGACATTTATGAACGGAAAATTTATGAAACATTTTTGAGGAGCTGTAACATCGTCCCATGACATTAATTTACGGATATCGTATGAAGTTAGTTAAGATGAAGTGAAACACGTCTAGAAATTTGATCGACGTCGGTAAAAAAGATTCTTCTAAATACCTGCGTTGCCGAAGTTCGTATTTAAATTGACAGCCGTGTCGAATTATATTGGGAATTGTACTAAATGGCATCCTCCATATGTCGTAATTATAAAGAAATAGAAGTAAAACTCCAGAAATCTCTTGATTCATGGTTTTTTATGTCCTAATTGACAGCAGAGGGCCACCCTGCGCCATCTGTGACTTTAGTGTCTCTTAAATTTTCTCTCCGAGACCTTGTGTCACCTTTGTTTTAGCATAGAAGCGCATAAAACCCTTTTTTTTTGCCTTTATGCCGTTCAAATGCAAGTTTCACGATTTTCTAAATTGTTGTACAATTATCCTGACACATTCATTTTTTAAATCAGAACCTTCAATACTTGTATATCGATCGAAATATGAGAGCTCGATGCCATGTTGGTTCGGGTCTAGGTTAAGTAAAAAAATTGTTTGTCAATCCAAATTTTGAAAAAAGATTGTCTACAGCCCAGACCAGAACCAAAATGGCGGCGAGCTCTCGCATTTCGATCGATATCCAATTACTGAAGGCTCTAATATGAGAAATGAACGTGTCAGGACAACTGTTTGACAATTTAGAACACTCTGGTAATCGAGAAACTCGCATTTGAACGGGATAAAGGCAAAAAAAGTGTTGTATGCGCTTCTATGCGAAAACGATGGTAATACGAGGTCTCGGAGTGAA